ATTAAAAAAAATTTGAACTGACCAAGTCCTGTATTTGAGCGATTTCAAAATGGGTGTAATAAAGTGGTAATTGAACCTCGTGTTGAGCAATTTTGGTCTGAAATCATACTTATGATTTCAAATCGAACTCACGCTGCGCGCTTGTTCGATTTTGAAATCACGCGTATGATTTCAGCCCAAATTGCACTCCACTCAGTTCAATTACCATTATTTATCACACATTAGAGTTACTATGAAAAATCTGAATAGAAAAAATGATATTTATTACTATATAATAGATTTACTATGAAAAATATGAATTAGCACGAGCATTCCATTAAGATAAATAGCGTGTGGAGATGACATGATTAAATAAAACAGAAAGAAAAAGTAATGGTATTACCATACATTAGAGTTACTATGAAAATCTGAATAACAATAGCGTGTGAAGATGACATGATAAATGCAATATCTGCTGAGGCTAAGGCATTTATCATGTCGAGTTCAAAGTCTCCCTTATTTTACAAGTCCCTCGTCCGTGTAGTGTTCCCAAACTTTTTCAAACTCAGGGAAAGTGTCTTCTTTTGCAGATTGTTGACAAAATGTGTAATAAAACAATTATAGAATTCGGTTTTCGCTCGATATCATGAATTATCAAACCTCGCATCTGTGTTATCAGCCTCAGCGTCGGTTTTGATAACTTATGATATCATGCTTAAACTCACCACTAATTGCTTATTATTACCGTTATTATCATATGTATTAATATCATTATAACTATCTTAAAATAAGTACAAAATTTGATACATCTAATCTATATGCTCTTTCATACATCATTCCAATTAACATTCTGCCCTTGGAAATGAAACACTCAACTTTCTTTGTTTACAGAAACTAGACATCCTAAATGTGGTATTGTATCAGCAGCACACGTAGTACAAAGAACGCCTCCAGCCATTCTCACGTTTCCACCCTAGAGAAAAAAAGAAAACCTCAGCAGGGTTAAGACGAAAACGGTTTTATAGCCACAAGTACACTGGCTCGGAGGTTATGCAGCCTCGGCAAGTAAACTAATCTCCTTCGCTGCAATTCTTCTGTATTCTATGCATTCCTTCCCCGTCACCCTCTGTTTGGACACGTAAGTTTATAAGGAAGACTGAAGAGACAAGGAAGACTAGGCAAGGAAAAATTTGTCTACGAAAACGTCAGATCAATTTAAGTATCTGATCAACTGGCACCTATACCCCTCCCCCAACAACAGTTAACTGAGAACAATTCATGGTTAATGCTTGGTTTTAGGGGAGAGTAGGTGAGCAGTTGCTCAGATAACTACAAGGTGCCAATCATTACGGTTCTAGTACAGAAAAAAACAAACAACAACAAAAGCAAACACAATGAAACAACAACTAAAACAAGAAAAAGCTAAATATCCCAGACAGTTGACAAAAATAAGATAAGGTTGTCAATACGAACGAACAAACCTGCACAATACTCATTCACATTCACACCAAAAGCGCACTGCACGCACGTGTGTACACACATGCCTATGATGTGCTGACCAACGCACTTTTCTCTTGGACACGAGCACACATTTAAGAATTACGTACTATATCACGCACAATTGGAAAATCTATCATCAAAACAAAATCCACTTGCGAAGTTTTCAGCTTACCAGTACAACATTTTCTTTCTGAATCACAACGTGAGGCCGCGGAGAAAACTCGACATCTTTCTTACAGTTTACACAGAAGGCCGGCTGCAAATGAAAAAGGTAATTTGGTTTTACCAACTAAGTTGATAATGTAAATTGCCCACCGGAGAGAATTTTAAGTTGATGTTTCGAGTGTTAGCCCTTTATCAGAACGACTGATACCTGAGACAACTCCTTCGGTGATACCAACTCCACGAAATGTTCCTAAAAGTGACAAAAACATAAACTAATCAGAAGGTTCAAAAACATGTACTCGTAACTGATG